ACACAGCCGGAGCTGCCTACCTGTCGGAGCAGGATATCCCCATCCCAACTCGCCCATCTCCCCATGCACTTGCCCCATTTGGCTTCTCTCCCCATCAGACACAGACATCGCCAGCATCACAGCAGGTCCAGGAGCCTCCGAGACGTTCGGAGCACAAGCCCGACAGTGTTATTGGTGTCATTTGTTACTGCTGAGATACGAAGCAATACGCGGAGAGAACTGCATGTGCGTTTGGCACTCTTCTCGCCGGTGGTTGCCATTAGTGGTCTGTCTTGCTCCCAGACTGGATAAGCAGGTCCATGAGCAGCTCTGTTCTCATCTCCCCCGGGGCTGGTACCAACAGGAAAGCCAATATGCAGTTAAAATCCTTTTTAGACTTTATTAAATATTTAAGGGCCCGACATTAGGCTTTGGAAATTGGGTTCAGGGAAAAAGCAGCAGTCACTCTTTGCAGCAAAGGCAGCAGAGGAAGGGCAAAGGACAGTGCCTTCGTTTGGAAATTAATGAATCAGACTGAAACACACCCACAGCAAGAGCCAGTGGCTGCGGCAGGTCTATCCCGGACTGGATTTAATCCCGGCTTCCTCACGAGCCGACGCAGCGATGCCCCACAGTGGGGCAGAGCATCCCCAGTGCTGCCGGGAGCAGGGATGGAGCAGCCCCCCTGCCCTGGCCGTGCGGGGGGCAGCTGTGTCCTGCCCCCCGGCTCAATCCTCCCCTTAGCTGCGGGGATTTCGGCATGGCCTGGCACTCCAAGGTGCTGTCCCCAGCCCATGGAGCGGTTCCTGCCCCGAGCAGAGGAGAAAACTCCCCTCCAGACCCAGCGCGGGCAGGGGAAGTGAGGTCTCTGTGACTCAGCCATCAGACCCTGGAGCCAAGGGAAGGTCAGGAGGACGCTGCAGGGCAAAGCCTCGCTGGCAGCGGGGCTCCTGTCTCACCCACAGGGATGGGGCCGCGCCAAGGGCTGCCGAAGCGGAGGGTGCTGGAGACACCGAACACCCGCTCCTCCACAGGGGGTAGCACGGACACCTAGGGCATCTCCACGGGGTCCGGCCATCGATCAGGAGATGCTGGAGAAGCACAGGCGGACGAAGCACAGGCAGCCCTCCTTCCATGTAGAAACCAAAAATGTGCCTTGAAGAGAGAACAACGTGCAGGAGGTGTGGGGAGCGAGCCCCGTGCTGGCACCGCCGGGATGGGGAACCTGCAGCAGCGGCCACCGAGGAACCACAGCGGTGGTCACCGTGCCCTGGGCTGAGCACCTCCCAGCCAGCCCTGCCCTTGGGCAGGCAGGGGTGCAGGGCACGGACCCTGGCTCCCTTTCCCATCCAGCTCCCTAGAAGACCCGGGAGGCTGAGGAGGGGAGGGAGGAACAAAGCGACCCCACAAATGTCACCCCGATAACGGAGCGAGCGCATCCGCGGGCTCCTCCCTGAAGCAGCCGCTTCCTTTGATGCCTTCAGAGCTTCTTGTTTCACAACCTTAATTATAGCGGCAGCAGCAAAGGTCAGGAGAGTGGTTAAGCAGATCCATTAACATGTCAGGGGATAAATGAAATGTGATTCTTCTGATGCCTGAGCAGCAGCAGGCAGCGGCGCAAGTGCGGCCGGCAGGGACGGCTGCTCCGCTCTGCCGCAGAGGGAGCCCGAGGGGCCCTTGGTCACGCCTTCCCCTTCCCACCCCGGCATTGCAAGCACCTCTCAGGGACCACAGGGACACCCCAAAACTTGCTTCGCTTGCATTTACCCGCAGAGCACCAGGTCCGTGCACACATGGGATACCCAGATATGAGATTCGCTGGGAGCAGGTTGGGGTCTCCCTGGGGAAGGGGCTGGAGATGCCCTCCAGACCACCACAGCCCTCCGGAGGCAGCACATCAGGTCCCCATCGAGCTCGCAGTGAACCCGCACTGCAGCTGCCACCTTCGGGGCTCTGGGTTACATGCGGCTGCAGTAAAAACAGGTCCCAAACAAAAGCCAGCCCCTGGGCGTCCCTCCAGCGCATCCTGCCCATCGCCCTCCCCTGGGCCCCCTCTGGGACAGCAGACCTGCTCTGCTCCCCTCCCCGCAGCGCATCTCCAGGGTGCTTGGGCAGGTGCTCTCCTCCTCCCCCCAAAACTCCGCTTTTGGGCTCCTGCAAATCCTGTTACACGCCGAGAGCGCTCGGAGCAGGCAGGCACGCTCGCCGGGTCAACCAGCCAGCAGCAGCCCAGCCTCAGCTTTACACACCGGGCGTGCGCCCGCCTGGGCATCCCGGTGCCCCTCTCCCAGGAGCAGGTCCCACGGGGCTCCCACCCCAGGGGTGGGATCCTGCCCACTGGCTTTCTGCCCATGGCTGTGCAGGCAGCCCCAAAACGGGTGCTTGTAGGGCCGAGCGGAGCCAAGGGATACGGGGCTGGTGCCGCAGAGGTGAGCACAGGCAGCTGCCAGACACAGGCAGGGAGCTGCGTTTCAGCCTGGCTTCGGGGCTCCACGCTTTGGGTATTTCACCCAGCGTTTGCCGCCGAGGGATAACGGGTACATAACCACCTGGCCCCGCTTTCTGCCGGATGAGCAACAGGAGGGATTTCAACACGAACCAGCCTGGCAGAGAAACCCAGCGCCTGGGGCCAAACGCTTCGGAGGCTAAAAATAAACCGGCAGCGGGGAGCCACCGAGGTCCCTCTTCTGCTCCGCCTGCCCCTCTGCTCCTGCCCACCGCCCCGGCCAGCACATTTCCCCGGCACTGGGGCGACACGACGGAGCAAAGCCCCAACCCGGTGCCCCCAGTGAGGAACCAACCCATTTTCCTGGCTGAAAACTGCTGCAATTGGAGAATTTTCTTTCCCGCAGAATTCAACCTGCCACTACGTACCCCCGTAACTACAAATCAATATGTTTGTAGTTTGCTTTTAAACTAATGCCCATTAATTCAATGCATTACTGTCGAGCAACAGAGCCAATTTTGCGGCTTATTGTAAAAGAGCAGAAAACGATGATGCCAGAGTGAGTTTAAAATCCACAAAATAGATCACAGTGGGTGGGACGCGGTTCTTGGGGAAAGAGCATCTTCCTCTCCCCGCGCCCACTCTGCAGCCCGGGCATCCCAGCGCCACGGGCATCGTTTTGGCACCCTCGCCGTGACTCCCACGCCTTCACCAGAGCCTCGCTGCAGCCTCCAGAGCTCAGGGACCATCATCCTGACCCCACGCCCGGTCCCAGCAGCGATGCCGCTGCACCTACATGGCTCCGAGCGCACCGGATTGCACGGCTACTGCCAGTGGCATTAAAAAAAAATACAGCGTTAGTAGTTCTAGACACGGGCAACAGCTATGAAAAGTGAACCCTGAAATCCAACCCCCCCCCCAAATGACTAAAAAAAAGAGCTAAAATGTGCTCTTCTGAAACAACCTCATATTTTTAAGCCTGTTTCATGATTTTAAAGGTTGCCAGTGCTGTGGCTGGGCTGGCCTGGGAGCGCTGCTGCAAGTAGGGATACTCAGCACTGCATTCCTCTCCCTATTTCTCTACCAGGAGTCCACGCCAAGCCAGTTCCACCCACGACACATATTCTGCACCCACAACTGCACACGTGCACTTTACACAACTTTATGCAGGCTGCAGGGAGCAGCGATACCCCAGGACCTTCATAAATCTCCAGCTTAGCAGAACCCTTTGACCGCGGCCCCGCAAGGCTCTTAAGCACAATCCCAAATCCCACCGCGGCCCTGAGCCGCGAGCACCTGGCCCAAGTCAAGCACAGGCTTAAATCCCCGCCAAAGAGGGGCCGGCAGACACGATCCAGGGAGGACGGTGGTTCCTTCGGGTCTCGGGCTTTATCACCTCGTGGGACAAAACACACAGAGGCCAAAACTGTGTCTCTGAGCTACCTCAACGAGGCATCAGGAAGATTAATAAATTAGTGATTATAAAGCACTTTAAGAGCTTTTGGACGAAAGGCTCTATGGAAGTACAAAGAATTACATAATTTATTATTCATTATTATCACTCAGCATTGGCTTCTCCCGCACGCTCCTATATGGCACCAGCCTGGCCTCCGAGGAAGGTTAAATCCTCGCCCCGCAACCAGGCTCTCCCCGCCAGCGCCGCTCCAGCGCCTGGCAGACGGGTGAGCTTGGCACTGCCAGATATTCCTGGGCACTCAGGTGCCTGGAGATGCTGAAAGGCACATGCTGATGGGTCCAAATCAACAGGACTTGGGCAGCCAGCACTTCGAAGAAGCCTTCAGATGTCCTTCTGCGCCTTTAGGTGTCCAAGTGCCATTAAAATCTGGCCCCCGGCACCGTAAGTCAGGAGTGGAGAGGGGAAAGGGAGCCAAGAGACAACATTTCCAGGCTCCTGCCCTTCCGTGTCCGGTTCCCGGCAGGACCCAGGACAACCTGCTCTGAATACCTGCAGTGAAATAATTCTCTCATCTCATGGAGGCCCCTGATGGCAACTCTGCAGCATCCCAAGCACGACCACCACGTCCATGACTGCCCGGGCACGCGAGCTGTCCCACGCTCCTCTCCCACCGACTGCTTGTCCCAAGATTGCTGCGACTGAGGCAGGGCCAGAGAAACACCACAAATAGGAGACGGTGAGACCAGAGGGGACAGCGCCTGGGGGACGCAAGAAGCCACCAGGCATAGGAAAAGCACTGAAGGGACACGGCACAGGCTGCGGGTCCTCTGTGTCTCACAGACGTGATAAATCTGTACAAAAGCCACGTGGGGAGGGAAGAGGGGGTGAAGCCTCCCCATCCCGCCGATCCCAGCAGAACCAAGAAGGGGCTTTTTGTTACTTGCTTCGTTTTCTTTCGAAATCACACAAACAGAAAATGATGCAATGGAAGGAAATCCCATCGTGGGAGAAACCCTTCGTGTACCGCAGCCCCGGCTCACACTGCCACGGGAACCTCCCCGGGACAAAAGCGGGTCCCCTGTCATTAGCTGCCAGTTACGGGCTCCCGGAGACATCTGCCCAGATGTGCTGTAACAGCAGCAGAACAGCACCACGCACGAGGCAGGGCCAGCACCCGCTCGGTAACGTGGCAGCCAGCACGCCGGAAGGGCAGCCACGCACCGGGGATGCTCTTCGAAGGATGGTCATCGCCGGTCCACCAGAAACGTGCCGACATGCCACAGGGCTGTGGAGTAAAACCTTTCCCAAGCAGACCCCCAGAAATTCCTGAGTATGCCATGGATTTGTGTGTACGACTATCCCCTGCTCGAGCTGGTCCACTAGCCACGGCACAGGGGTCTGGATCAGTCCCTCCCACTGTACTCAGTGCAACCCTGCACTCCTACCTGCATCTCCAAAATGCAGAAGGAAATTAGTATCTTTCCAATCTCCCAGAGTCTGAAGATAAATCAGAGGCTCTCAGACGTGCCTGGGAGGGCCCTGTGAAGTGCTTTGCCAGACAAGGGAACGCACGCTCGCCTTGACAGCTGCAGAAAAGGGGCAGAAACACTCAGCAAAAGTAATTAATCCCAGAGACGAGAGGTGGAACGAGCAGAGGTCAACAAACAGAGCCTGGTATTAGCAACGGCGCTCTCTGACAGGCATCGCACCGCCAGCCACATGCTGCCGGGGCACGTTGGGATGCTGCACCAGGCTCCGGCCACGCAAAGGGCCACATGCTGCCCCACGGCACGGCTGCCCGGGCGCTGCTGCCTCACCTGCACAGGTACATGGGTCTGGTGCACCTTGAAAAAGAGGCAGCGAGAGGTCTGGAGCGGGCAGGCAAAACCCCAGGCAGGCCAGGAACTCACTGAGGGAGCGATCAGAGGACCGGAGTCTTTTTTGGAGGGGGTGTGGTGGAAAGGGGAGGTCACCCAAGAGAAAGGAGCAGAAAGTTGGGAATAAAGTGATTCAAAAGGCAATGACCCTCTGCTGGCCTCATCCAGCAAGAGACATCCCCATGCCCACAGATGATGGTTTCACCAGCGCTGTCTTTGTTTGGCATCGGCTGCCGCTAAGACGCGGGGCATCGCTGCCCGTGCGCCCCGCCGTCAGCCCCGCTGGGGTCGGCACCTTCCCCGCGCAGACACTCCCCAGGGGTGCAGAAAGCCCAGCACGCAGGAGATCACCAGCAGACGAGGCTGTGCCGGGGCCGGCTCTTCCCAGACCCCTCTCCGTCGGAGATCGGATCGTTGCGGTGGCTGCAAACCGAGCGGGCGATTGGCACGGCAATGTGCCGGGGCCGGCTCTTCCCAGACCCCTCTCCGTCGGAGATCGGATCGTTGCGGTGGCTGCAAACCAAGCGGGCGATTGCAGCACGGCAATAACCGTACCTGGCCCAGCGCGGCTGCACCCGCCGTGGGTCACAGCTGCAGTGAGGACACCAAAACCTGGGGCTCAGCTCCAGCTCCAGCCGGGGTCTGGGCCCAGCCGGCACTGCCACGTTCTCACTAGTTCTTCTCCCCGAGCCACTTCAAGGAAGCCCAGCCGGGGTACCCCAACCTCTCCTACCATCACTCACGATTTGGCTATGCGGACATGCCCCCCGCAACCTGCCCTCCTCCTGCCCGCTCCCGGCTGTGCCACGGCGAGAGAGCAACCCCGCGTGTAGGGTTGTGCAATGCACCAGTATTGCCTCTTCTCCATATGGGAGAACTTGCTGCATCCTAATCTATTGCCTTTTTGGGTAAGCGCTGCCGTGGGACTGCAGCAATGACAGCGGGGAGAGCTCGCAGGTCTGCTACACGTTAGCAGTTCTCTGGCGAAGCAAAGGGGGAATATCCCCGACCTGGGAGCAGAGAGGCAAACTTGAACCACCAAAGCCTCTGTTTCCTTTGCGCATCCTTCAGAAAAAAAAACTGGTTTTGCTAAAACTGGATGGCTCAGGCACTAGCCACGTTAATAAGATTACAGTGGAGGTTCAGATGGGAAAGCCACTCACTTAGAAAATCAGGTTATGAAACTGATACTGAGATACTCACAGAAAAATACCGAACTCTCTGGTGTCAGGCTCTTCTCTCCGCTTCAGAGCATAATAACAAAGGAAACCCCTCCAACTAACGCACCCAAACTTTGAAAGCCACCCAGACGGTTTGGCTCCCCGTAGGGAGAAGCTGCCTGGCTCCAGGGAAGCAGCGAGGGCCACCCCCCCCGGCCAGTCCCTGGGTACCCGCCTGGCAGCGAAACCCCCGGGGCAAGCAGCCCCGGGAGAAAGGATGCTCCGAGCAGGGGCAGGAGCAGTGGGGGGGGGTTAGGAAAAGAAAAGCGCATCGGTCCGGGCGGGCACAGCGGGCGGGCAGGATGCGGCCCTTGTTCCACAGTTATTGAAGGATTAGAAATAGGCCACGGAGAATTGGTTTTGTAAGAAAACAGAGTATTTCCCTGGCTCCCTACCCCTCTCCTTGTCTCCGCTGCCTTGTGGGGCTTTTTTTTATCCTCCCAGGCTAATCTCTGAATTCTTGCAACAAAGCCCGGCCGAGCCTGCGCCCTCCCCCGGGGAACGGCCCCGGCAGCGCCGATGCCCGGAGAAATCACAGCTCGCCGCTACAA